TTATATAGTGAAAATGCATTAATTAGGGCCCCGCAAGGATTTGCGGGTGCCCTATAGTAATCACTCTGTCTGATGCTAAGTTTGGTTCTCTATGTCATCCAGTTTGGAGCTGGGGTGGTGGGGTAGATTCCTTAACTTTACATTAGAATGAATGCCAGGGCAAAGAGAGATAACTGCTGAGAATGTTCCAATTGTAAACTATGAAAGCTGCAACTAGTCCCATGGGATTAATTAACTTTCCTCTTGAAGAGAATCCAAAGCATTATCTGTTTCTGTCAAACAGAGATTAATTAACACCTCTGTCTGCAAATGAAGTTTGTTTTGAAGTTAAGGTCAATTCTGAATGATGTTTACATTCTATGAAATGTGGATTTAAATAATGTTCATACTTTATATTGGTAAAATATACAATGAGTTATGATTTTATTGAATTCTAAAAACAAGATATACATAAAGATATGTTTTTTTTTTTTTTTTATTTATTTATTTTATTTATTCATTTTTTTTTTTTGGCTGCTGTTTTAAATTCAAGAATACTATTAATTTTAATGGGTAGTCCAATAATAAACTCATTCTATCATTACTGAAAGAGTTCTTATTGTAAACTTGGAAGAAAAGGATAAGAGAGCAGTACAATTAATCCCTTGGGATTAATTATCTTGTCTTGGGCAGAAAATTTTCCAGGCTTATCTTTATTTGTCACTTTAAGATAAATTAACCTTTGTCTGCAACTGATGTTTGTTTTGAAGTTAAGGTCAAGACTTGGTGATATTTGAAAACACATGCTTTATTCTTGTTTGAATATACATTTAATTGAGTTATTATAGATATTATGTTTTTTACTGCTTTATGTAAATACAGGGATACTCTTTACAGGTTGTTAGATATTTAGGAATTATCTTGAAATTTTATAAATAAAGTTGTTATTGCATGTTCTTCATATATTTTTAAATTTTTCTAATCGATTAAAATTCTCATTCTGTAAGCTGCACTCTTATATTTCTACCCCTTGGTGGGGCCCTTGCTGACTGGTCAGTTTTCTAGTTCTTTGAAAATCTTCTTCTCTGTACCTTGGGATTAAATAAACTAACCAAGTATATAGTTATGATGAGCAAGAGTGCCTCTTCCAAAATTGTGAATTTCATGGCCCCAGGGTCAGGGGTTCTGATGTTAGGGCGGGGCTCTACTAATTATATAGTGAAAATGCATTAATTATTTGAAAATCTTTTTCTCTGCTCCTGAGAATTAAATAAAGTAATTAAGTACATAGTTATGATGAGCAAGAGTGCCTCTTCCAAAATTGTGAATTTCATGGCCCCAGGATCAGGGATTCTTGTGTTAGGGTGGGGCTCTATTGACTATATAGTGAAAATGCATTAATTCTTTGAAAATCTTCTTCTCTGTACTTGGGGATTAAATAAACTAACCAAGTATATAGTTATGATGAGCAAGAGTGCCTCTTCCAAAATTGTGAATTTCATGGCCCCAGGATCAGGGATTCTTGTGTTAGGGTGGGGCTCTATTGACTATATAGTATATGCATTAATATGCATTAATTCTTTGAAAATCTTCTTCTCTGTTCCTGGGTATTAAATAAACTAACCAAGTAAATAGTTATGGTGAGCAAGAGTGCCTTTTGAGCATGGCTGCCTTTTTAGAAATAGTGAATTTCATGGCCCCAGGGTCAGGGGTTCAGGTGTTAGGGTGGGGCTCTGTTGATTATTTGCATTAATTCTTTGAAAATCTTCTTCTCTGCTCCTAGGTATTAAATAAACTAACTTAGTGCATCAGGGTTGGCAAAAAACTGGGAAATACTCGTATTTCCCAGGACGGTGGGAAATACTGGTAATTACCGGGAATTACTGGTATTTCCCAGGAAATACTGGGAAATAAGAAATAGCTACATATTTCATTCATATCGACATGTAGTACACCTTATTGGCTAAGATATCTACTTGGCATCACTGTCCCTGATTAAAAAATTCTGGTTTCAAAGTTATTCATTTTATATAATCATAACACAGCATACTCATATACCAGTCATGAGTGTCATTTGTTTCATGCTCTAGTCAGATATAGTCTATGAAGGTCCATGAAATGAACCCGGAGATCCCAATTGGTTTTTTTATCTAAGAAAATTCTAAAATGTAGAATATGGTATAAATATCAAATCTAAGAAAAAGCCTTTCAGTTCTACTCAAGGTAATTATCTCTTAAAACAGGAGCACAAAACTGTCCAGAGCAATTTGTTAAAACAACATGATTGTTTGTAATAACTACAGTGTTGATAGAGGGATTAAAACAAGTTAAATGTTGTTGTTTTTTGTTCTTGGATTTATAATTAATAAACTTAATAATTTTACAAAAATGAAGAGAAACTTGAATTGGAAAACTTCACTTTTACACAGCCAGGGAAATGTTTCAGAATGCTGAAGGGTATGGGACGTGGAGTAGTGATACATTCTGAATATGTTCAATTGCAGTTTGAGACATAAATTATTCATCTTCTGTTTACATGTTTATTTTATTTCTGAATTTTGTATAAGATTGAATGAATTAAAGAAATAAAAAACTTAAACTTTGTACATGTTGTACAATATTTCCCAGTATTTCCCAATTTAGAGAAATTTGTAGTATTTCCCGGGACGGGAAATACCGCTATTTACCACTGGTAATTCCCACCACTGGTATTTCCCCACCAACCCTGTAGTGCATAGTTATGATGAGCATGGTTGCCTCTTCCAAAATTGTGAATTTCATAGCCCCTGGGTCAGGGGTTCTGGTTTCAGGATGGGGCTCAATTGATATATATAGTGAAAATGCATTATTTCTTTGAAAATCTTCTCTCTCCTGGATATTAAATAAACTAAGTACATAGTTATGATGAGCATGGCTGCCTCCTCAGAAATTGTGAATTTCGTGGCCCCTGGGTGAAGGGTTCTGGTGTTAGGGCGGGGCTCTACTGATTATATAGGGAAAATGCATGAATTCTTTCAAAATCTACTTCTCTGCTCCTGGGTATTATTCAAACAAAGGAAGTGCATGGTTATGATAAGGAAGAATGCCTCTTCCAAAATTGTGAAATTCATGGCCCCTGGTTCAGGGGTTCTGGTGAAGGGGGGGGGGCTCTATTGATTTTATAGTGAAAATGCATAATTTCTTTCAAAATATTTTTTCTACTACTGGCAATAAAGCAAAGAAATAAGTGTATAGTTATGATGAGCAAAGTGCTTCTTCCAGAATTGTGAGTTCATGGCCCGTGGGTACACTGTAAGATGTTCTGATGTAAGGGGGGTACTTTATTTATTTAATAATATAGTGAACATGCATTTCTTTGAAAATCTATGCTTCTGGGCATATTCGAGGCAAACAGAGCAAAATTTTTAACATGCAAGGGTATTTTTACCACAATTTTGAACACCTGGATTATTTAGTCAAGTGTTCTGGTCCTGGCCAGGGCTCTATGAACTTGTATTCTGCTGAGCAAAGTTATTCCCCTTTGCCATTCACCTTTGATAATTAATCACTGTAAATAATGTATTTGAAAGGTTAATAGAATAAGAGAATTATGCAAGAATATTTATTGTATAATACAAAAAGTACTTTCATAGTTTTAATGATCAGGTAGACTTGGAAGTAATAGATGAATAAAAGTGAGACAAAAATAACTTATCTTTTTTAATTTTCTTCAATTAGGCCAAGAGAGACCAATGTGATAAGTAGTAATATGGGGTCAAAAATAGACATTTTGGTAATAGTCTGCATGGTAATAGTGATACATGGGGGACAGATAGATTCTATACCAATTATTGTGTTGATGCTTAGCATACTATTTTTCTTGCTTTTGGGCAACAAAGCTTCATATATCAGTTTATGGATCCTCTAAATTGTTGTATTGTACTCAGGTGACCGGTAAGGCCCTTGGGCCTCTTGTTTTTTTTTTTCAAATCATGACCCCCAGGGGTAGGGTGGGGCCACAATGGGCAATCAAAGTTTTACATAGGAATATATAGGAAAAATTTTCTTCTCAAGAACAGCAAAGCCATGATTGGTCTTATTTATATGGAAGCATCCTTAGGTAGTTTAGATTCAAGTTTGTTCAAATCATGACCCCCAGGGGTAGGGTCGGGCAACAATGGGCAGTCAAAGTTTTACATAGGAATATATAAGAAAAATCTGTAAAAATCTTCTCAAGAACAACAAAGCCATGATTGGTCATATTTATATGGAAGCATCCTCAGATAGTGTAGATTCAAGTTTGTTCAAATCATGACCCCATGGGGTAGGGTGGGGCCACAATGAGCTATCAAAGTTTTACATACATAGGAAAAAATCTTTTAAAAACTTCTCAAGAACAGCAAAGCCATAATTAGTCATATTTAAATGGAAGCATCCTCGGGTAATGTAGACTCAAATTCTTTTCAAATCATGACCCCCAGGAGAATAGAGGAGCCATAACAGGGGACCATAGTTATAAAAAGGAATACAAATGATATATCAATAAAAATTGTCTTCTTAAGAACAGCAAAGCCATTATTTGTCATATTAATTCAAAAGCATCCCTATGAAGTATAGATTCAAAATTAGTTCAAACCAACACCCATCCCCCCTTAAACCACTTTTATATCAAAACTCTTCAAGACTGAACTGATTTCTGCTTTTTCCTAGCCATAGTGCTCAGGTGAGCGATATGGCCCCTGGGCCTCTTGTTTCATTTGGCGGCACCGTTGCTATCCGATGTGTCAATATATTTTTTTTTTGGAGAGCTACAGTTCTGCAGCTAGTTACGCTTGCGTTTGCGCTCCATTCGTGTTCTGCGTTCGCTCACTGTTCACTGTGTACTAACTGTTCACCAAATTACGTTCAGCGTTCACACACCTTTTGCTCACCGTTCAAGTGGGAAAGTAGAATGTTTCAGGGACTGTAAGTGTTTTGTTAATGATATTCTATTTAAGTAATCATTGTTTTATGTATTTACATGTATGTTGCCTTATTTTCAGAAAGCAATTAAGGAACACAAAATTGATCTTTGGGAACTAGAAAAACCAATGCTAGGAACAGATCATGAGAAAAAGGATCCAAGCTGATGTCATCGAATTTGAATTCTAAATGAAACAAGACATGCTTAAATATCCTAAAAGTCCTTTTTCCTTAGATACTGAAAGAAATTTAGGATTTGAAACTAAATATTATACTATCATTTCAAGTTTGAGAAACGATCACTGTATTTTGTTGGAACACTTGTGAAGAAAAATTAAAGGATATTCACCACACTGCACACTTATTTCAGGGTACTTTTGTGTAATTCGATTGATCCACCATATGAAATTTGCTATAATATATGCATTGTTTTACATAATTTGTAATTATTTCAAGAATTCTTAACGTTACACATATATATGTATTAGACCAAAGTAGAGTAATTGAAATTCATTTGCATGTATTTTACAAAGACGATTTTTAGAAACAAAGTTGGGGGAGCTTATGTAATACCCTCGGCGTCGACGTCCCAGGTTAAAAGTTTTCAAGTACTTCTATGACCTGTGGCAACGCACTTTGAAAAAATTACGCACTTTGAAAAAAATTTTCAAAGTGCGTTAATTTTGGGACAAAATCAACGCACTTTGAAAAAATTTTTCAAAGTGCGTTGAATTTGGGACCAAATCAACGCACTTTGAAAATTTTTTTCAAAGTGCGTTAAGAGTGTACATAATAATTTTTTACCATGTACACACTTAACGCACTTTGAAAAAATGTGTATAAAACAAAAATTTTGGACTTGAATTTTAGTAATAGACAACATTATCCCCTCGCAACGTTTGAGGGGATATAGTAACGCGATTATGTTTGTAAGTGTGTGTGTTAGTTTTTCCTGTGCGAAACGGAAGTGACGTAATTTGCATCGAGATAGCTATCATATTCAATATGAACATACGCTAGACTGATTAAAGATATATACGCTATAACTTGCGTAAGTTAAAAATAAAGTTGGAAATTTATTTATTTTGGTTACCAAATAAAGTTACGGAATTATTGTAAATTACAAAATTGGAAATGAACACATGATAAAGATCTCAAATTATAATTATTTATTATCCTACTAGGACAGTAATGCCTCTATTTAAATTCATGCATCATGTGACACCGTCGCTAATTTTAGATTGATAAACAAAAATGGCGTCAAGAAAACGAGGTAGGCCGTTTGGTATACAAAATAACTTTTGACATGGATGGCATACGTTTTATGCTTAAAGATACTTATCTTTGAAAACAACCAGTATTAACCATCTACTCTGTAATGACAGATATTAACTTTTATTCAAAATCGTAGTCAAAATGCAACGTACCTCGTTGTCTATGATTTCCCGCGGACATGCGTGTCTATATACTGTTTACGCACTTCCTTCATCAATATTCATGAATAGGCTGAATTCTTAATTGCAGATCTTGCTTATTGTTTTGTAATTACAACGACTTATTTAGTAAAACTTTGTGGAAAGTAATTATTTTTTATTACACATCATGTTTCTCAAATCATTTAGTCATTTTGTGTCACATAAAAAATCGCGTTTATATAGCGTGTATATCTTTAATTTGATAGTAATAAAATAAAAGATTAGCCACAATATTCATTTGATTGGAACTTTTACAAGGGCACCGCAAAGCGGAGCATTCCTTCCCAAAAAGCATATTCTATAAATCAAGGCAGCATTTATATATATATAGAGAGAGAGAGAGAGAGAGAATTTTCAGGGTAGAGAAAAATCATAATTGCTCCTTTTTCCATTTAAGTCACATCCACCGAACTTATTACAGACTGAATTAAAATAAAAAAGGAAAGAAATTATCAAACAATCATTTCTAAAAGATCAATTTCCCTTTTATAAAATTTACGAGAACTGTTGGAAAGAAAACAACCCCTAAAAATCTTTAAAACGTGTATATCTCAGATCCTGAAGTGACATCATCACTGAAAAAGTATTAAACTAGGTTCAGATAATTATTTATCATACCTAAAATTTGCAAGAATATTGACCAAGCCGTGCACATTTTTTTAAAGTGCGTTAATATGGTCGATATTAACGCACTTTGAAAAAAAAATAAAATTTTTCAAAGTGCGTTAAAGTGGTCTCAAAATTAACGCACTTTGATTTTTTAGCTCACCTGAGCCGAAGGCTCAAGTGAGCTTTTCTGATCAAAATTTGTCCGTTGTCTGTCGTCGTCGTCGGCGTCGTCTGCGTCGTTGTTGTCGTAAACTTTTCACATTTTCATCTTCTTCTCCAGAACTACTGGGCCAATTTCAATCAAACTTGGCACAAAGTATCCTTGGGTGATGGGGTTTCAAGTTTGTTCAAATGAAGGGCCACGCCCTCCTCCAAGGGGAGATAATTACGAAATAGCAAAAAATTAATGGCATTATTGAAAAACTTCTTCTTAAGAACCAGTGGGCCAGGAAAGATGAAACTCATGTGGAATTATTGTCAAGTAGTGTAGATTCAGGTTTGATCAAATCATGACCCCCGGGGATAGGGTGGGGCCACAATGGGCAATCAAAGTTTTACATAGGAATATATAGGAAAAATCTTCTTCTCAAGAACAGCAAAGCTATGATTGGTCATATTTATGTGGAAGCATCCTCAGGTGGTGTAGATTCAAGTTTGTACAAATCATGACCCCCAGGGGTAGGGTGGGGCCACATTGGACAATGAAAGTTTTACATTGGAATATATAGGAAAAATCTTCAAAAATCTTCTTCTCAAGAACAGCAAAGCTATGATTGGTCATATTTATGTGGAAGCATCCTCAGGTGGTGTAAATTCAAGTTTATACAAATCATGACCCCCAGGGTTAGGGTGGGGCCAAAATGGACGATCAATGTTTAACATAGGTGTACATAGGAAAAATCTTCAAAAATCTTCTTCTCAAGAACAGCAAAGCTATGATTGGTCATATTTATGTGGAAGCATCCTCAGGTGGTGTAGATTCAAGTTTATACAAATCATGACCCCCAGGGTTAGGGTGGGGCCAAAATGGACGATCAATGTTTAACATAGGTGTACATAGGAAAAATCTTCAAAAATCTTCTTCTCAAGAACAGTAAAGCTATGATTGGTCATATTTATGTGGAAGCATCCTCAGGTGGTGTAGATTCAAGTTTGTTCAAATTATGACCCCCGGGGGTAGGGTGGGGCCACAATGGACGATCAAAGTTTTACATTGGAATATATAGGAAAAATCTTCAAAAATCTTCTTCTCAAGAACAGCAAAGCTATGATTGGTCATATTTATGTGGAAGCATCCTCAGGTGGTGTAGATTCAAGTTTGTTCAAATCATGACCCCCGAGGGTAGGGTGGGGCAACAATGTATGATCAAAGTTTTACATAGGAATATATAGGAAAAATCTTTAAAAATCTCAAGAACAGCAAAGCCTAGGTTTGTCATATTTATACGGAAGCATCCTCAGATAGAAGTGTAGATTCAAGTTTGTTCAAATCATGACCCCCCCCCCACTCCCTTTTTAGGGGTAGGTTGGGACCACTTGTGCATTTATGCTTTTCAATACTAAACTGATTTTTCCTTTTTTCCTAGCCACAGTGCTCAGGTGAGCGATCTGGCCCTTGGGCCTCTTGTTTTTTTCAAAGTGCGTAATTTTTCAAAGTGCGTTGTAACAATGCCCTATATTAATCAGAGATGCATGGATGATGCTTCTAGTATGTTTCACTGTACCAGTCAAACTTTAAGATGCAATTTCAGCTGAAGAATGTTTTGGAGCAGGTTAAAGTTCTTGGAGCAGGCCTCATTTCCAAGTAACTATAAGTCCTATATTGACCAAACTTGCATGGACGATAGATTTAAGGATGCACAATACTGGACTTGCTTCGAATGCTGGATCTGACCTACATTTTCCGGATGAGTGACTAGGTTAAAGTTTTCGGAGCAGGTCTCATTTCCAAGTAACTATAAGCCTATATTGACCAGACTTGCATGGATGATAAACCTAAGGATGCACACTACTGGACTTGCTTCGGATGCTGGATCTGACCTACATTTTGCGGATGAGTGACCAGGTTAAAGTTTTTGAAACAGGTCCATTTCCAAGTAACTATAAGTCCTATGTTGACCAAACTTGCATGGATGATACATCTAAGGATGCACACTACTGAACTTACTTCGGATGCTGGATCTCACCAACATTTTCTGGTTGAGTGGTCAGGTTAAATTAAGTTTTAGGAGCAGGTCTCATTTCCAAGTAACTATAAGCCCTATATTTACCAAACTTGCATGGATGATAAATCTAAGGATGCACAATACTGAACTTGCTTTGGATGCTGGATCTGACCTAATTTTTTCGGAGTTGAACTATGTTCAATCTCCCTTGGTCTTCACGCGCTTTTGATGCGAAGTAATTTGTATTGATTATATAGCGGCTGTCAGTGGGGCTTCTGTGTCGGCCAATTTACTCCTGTGATATTCAGTAGAAAATTCTATAAACATCCGTCATAAAATAATCCATGTAACTTTTCTGAACTAATCTAATTTTGATAACAGATATGTAAATAACTGGTATTATATTGTATTTAACCTACTTTGAGTATTAGATTTCGATCACATTAATATTGATATATACAAACCAAAAAGGTAAAAAAAATTGTGAAGGACCTCATTTGTAGCGCAGAGTCACCTATAAACACTGAGAAGCAAACGAACGACGACTCTGCACAAGAGCAGTTGACACAGTGGCAGGAAATATCTGACTATCTATGGCGCATTGTCTGACGCGAAGTTAAAACTAGCTCACAAAGCAATGTTATTCATATTTTTGTAGACAGCAATATTCGAATGTTTTAATGATATTTATTTGGTAATACTGATTGAAAAATGAAAGAATTTAACATCGATTTGGATATGAACTAGACGAATCCCGCGCAAGCGCGGGAAATTTCCTTTTTACCACTGGTGACGGAAGAATTCCAATAATATATCTGATAGTTATACTGATATAATTTAATTCTGGTTGTAACGCTGTATTTGATTGGATAAAAAAATTAATTTTATATCGTATAAAATAGGTTGCCTACGTCACAATGACTTGCGTCAAAAACATATCGATCCGCCTGACGTTACGTTCAAATTTTGTACAAATTGAAGTCATTTTTTAAGGACAATCATCTTTTTTTCTTACACCAAATGAATGAAAATTAAATTATAAGGAATGAATTTAATAGCTACCCAATTTATACGATATAAACTGGGTTGGAACAGTTTACGCTTTTTTATAAACCGCTTCGCGGTTTATAAAGCGTAAACTGCCCCAACCCAGTTTATACCGTATAAAATGGGTAGCTATTAAATTCATTCCTTAAATGTTACAATGTAGCTACATTCTTATAGCAGGAAGGAATACTTTATTCAAAATACCGCAGTTGCTATAGATTCAAAGTAGATATACGTCACCTCCCTAATTTTGTTTGCGTTTTTCTTCTTCTTCCTTTTTTTTTTTTTTTTTGTAAGCACATGAAAAATGCCAATTTCATTAATTAAGGATGGATTCTACTCATATTTCTTATAATGGCAGAATCTTGATTTTCTGAATACTCAATATTCAGACTGTGTACACTATTTTAACATCCAAAAACCTTGGTGTCATCAGCCTCGATTTTCGGTCAAGGTCATTTGAAAGTAAGTCCTAAAAGTAGTACTTTTGCACAGGAAAGTTTTGAAATTTGTGCACATGAATAAATTTTGCAGACTGAAAAAATATCTTTCACCATAAAATTAAAGTTGTTAATTATTTTTGATAACTAATTGATACGAAATGAGCTGGTGAGAAGAAGACATGAAATCCTTTAAATTCAATGAAAACATTTAATCCGAATTTCCTCGATATTTTTTTTCCAAATTCTCAGTTTTCATGAATTCACATGAAATTTCATCTCAATTTTTACAATTGACCGTATAATGTCAAATATTTAGATGTTTGTCTGATGAATATTCAAAGGTTAAAGATTAATTTACAAGGTAAAAAAGATATGGTAATCAGGCAAATTATTAAGGTATCACACCGGTAATTGTTTTCACTATGTAATTCTATATAGAATAAAAAATCATTAAAAATCAGGTATTCGAATTCATGAAAAAATATTTAGCAGGAAGTGTTAAACGTTACCAGTCACATCAGCTGACACCAAAAAATAGGGTACCTACACGGCATTTTCTGATTTTTTCCATCCGCAAACAGGAATACCCTCAAAACTACGTGTATTTGATGTGTTTATAAACATCCTGTGTGCACCCCAGGAAGTGGCCTCCTATGCCCCCAAAGAAATAGTTCCTGTCAAAAACCTTTCATATTTTACAAAGTACATAAAATATCCTAAGCACAGATACCAAAAATGTAAAAATAGAATAAGGGAAATTAAAAAATTTCTCACAATAAAAAAAATATTTCTTTATTATGTATGGAACTACAATTGACTAAGTTCATTTTGATTGGTCAATTACCGGTGTGATACCTTGAAGGACCTTTGAAGTTGTCAGATTTTTTTCATTTTTGCACCTGAGATTTCTTAAATAACTGTCACTAACATCCTGAAGTCTGGGGATCTAATTCCCATTATTGCTGGAGATATGATGCATTTATCTCCCTTACTTCAGAGCAGTCAAGAATACACACTGAGCACTCTGACAAAAGTTTTTTGTGCATATTTTGAAGCAGAATTTCATCCTTAATAGACTAAGCCTGGCAACCAATTTTGTATCCGTGGAGAGTATATGCACTGTTCTTCACAACAAACAAAAAATAATTCACAAGTCTGAGACCATTATGCAATTATTACATAACAAAATTGCATTTTACCCTCCTAAGAATGAGAGAATTTACAGAAATTGTTAAATATTAGGCTGATAATAAAATCTGCATCTGGTCAATTTATGTTCCAAATAAAGCCTAGATACTTGTCTACAACCTGCTATGCAGAAGTTTATCTAAAAGCTGTGTTGTAACACAGGGCAGTCCAAATGATATCAGCATCTGGGGAGGTTCTGGACAGCTCTGACACTCCATTAAACTTGCTTTGATGATAAGAAAATGGAGAAAACAATTCAGATGTAATTTATTGTTGTGATTTATGTAACTGGCTTTCTCTGCAGACACAAATTAGCCATGAAATTCCAATTGAACATACATAATTATCCTCTTTTCATTAAATTACTTAGGAATTTCAAAGGTGTTTGATGGATTTGCATGATTAATTCAAGATTACAGCTTTTTGTTTCACCAAATTTACATAAAAATTCAACATTTAAATTTAAAAATATAAATCTTAAACATTTTTATGGGTCTTAACACTTTTAAATGTGAATAAATGCAACAAAGAAACTAATATCAGGCCATCCTCCATGATTCTTGGAGGTGGGTGGGTGTACAAAAACTGCTGATAAAATTTATAGGAAGTGACAAAAGAAGAACAGTGCACTTTATTAGCTGAATTATGGTTATTCTGATTTTTTGATTGTGTAAATATGTCAAATTTCTTCATCACTTTAATTTGTAATTTATTAATATTTCAGTACATTAATGTGCTTAACAAATCATGCTAAAATAAACATCCTGACTGAGACTTAATTTAAAAGAGAGGGTCAACACCTACATAAAAGTGGTAAAATGACAAAAAACATTCTCCGGCAAACTGAAAAATCTTGAATGTCAGCTGCGAAAGCATGGAAAAAGTCTAGAGAACCATAACAGGCATACCATGGTGCTAAGTGACATTCTGTACTATATGTGTGATGCATGGTTGGGACTCAGAATAAGTATTCACTCTCATGCCCTGACAGTATTTATGCATTTTTGGTCATAAGCTTCTTATTTTTGAAAAATTCTTAATAAATTTTATTTGTACATTACTTTTATTAGACAAATTTAACTCATTTCATTATTTCTATTCCTCCACTCCAGTAATAAATGAATCACTTAAGGTGAATAAAATGAAAGTAAACCCAGTCTCTGTAAAATTTAACACTTTTTAAAAACATGTCTTACTTCTTCACATTTTATCGCAGTTGTCGCTTTTGTTGAAAACTCATTCGCAAACCCAGAATTAGTCTTTTCTTGAAAAAATCAGCCTAAAGTGCTTTTACGGCAAAGTCTGTAGACACTATAATTGACTGCGGTCAGGTGGTGCACAGAGTTTAAAGTCATCTAAAATAAAAAACCAACATTTTTCTAACTTCTTTCTACATGTCAGATGCATAATCCTACTTTGAAAGTCATAATTTGGAGTTTTGAGGTTAAAACATGACATATTATTAGTATTTTACATAGAAATCTGTATAAATTAATGTCAACCCTGCTTCTAAATTTAAAAATATGTACTTTCACACAGAAAGTTCATAAAATGACATATTTTGTTGAAATATGCCTTTTTAAAATTAAAACTGCCTTTAATATGGGTGTAGATGATTTTACACAATCACCTTCAAGGTATCACACCGGTAATTGTTTTCACTATGTAATTCTATATAGAATAAAAAATCATTAAAAATCAGGTATTCGAATTCATGAAAAAATATTTAGCAGGAAGTGTTAAACGTTACCAGTCACATCAGCTGACACCAAAAAATAGGGTACCTACACGGCATTTTCTGATTTTTTCCATCCGCAAACAGGAATACCCTCAAAACCACGTGTATTCAATGTGTTTATAAACATCCTGTGTGCACCCCAGGAAGTGGCCTCCTATGCCCCCAAAGAAATAGTTCCTGTCAAAAACCTTTATAAAGTACATAAAATATCCTAAGCACAGATACCAAAAATGTAAAAATAGAATAAGGGAAATTAAAAAAATTTCTCACAATAAAAAAAATATTTCTTTATTATGTATGGAACTACAATTGACTAAGTTCATTTTGGTTGGTCAATTACTGGTGTGATACCTTAAAAAAAATTAGCCCGAATTTACTCTACAGTTTTTGAAATCTTCAATTTACAGAATGTTTTTAAAATCTATAAGAAAGATTTTTAATCCCCCAAAATAAAGCAATTTGGTGTAATTGTGACATATATACAATCATTTCTACCAGCTATACATTTCATTTTTATGGTATTTTACACTAATGATATTTATATTCAATTCGAATTTCCTCTGTCATTTTATTCTAATGAATGTTATGTTTGACAATTTTATAAAATACATCAATTTTCTAGTGGCAATTACAGAATATTATCACATACATTCTTCACATGCACAGGACAAATTCTAAGCAACTGAACCTTCAATAAATGTATAGCCAGGAATAATTAATAAACCTTCCAAAAATTATGAGAAAAATCATAAATTTTTCATACACTAGAAAAGATTTCAATACATTATTTATAAGATAAACATGAAATCAATATACATGTATAGTGAACACGCCATATGAATCTAGACATTCAATGCTTAATATATGAATATCAGAGGGACTAATTAATACATGCCTATACATGTATATGTATATGTAGATATACATATATAGGTCCCTGGTATTATGTTATTGGATATTTCACATTTGTCGACTCAATGTGATCATATATTGCATAAAATTTGCTGAAGTTTTAAGATAACATAAAAGCCATCATCAATGAAAATCAAATGCACTTTGACATCTTTGCCTGAAAATGACATTCTTTGAACTTTGTAACAATAATATTCATGCAGCTATTAAACTTAATTTCACATTTAGATGCAAAATACTTATTCAAGGATGAAATTTCTTTTTGAGAATTTGTAACACAAACATTTATTTATCAGTGTCAATAACTTGTGTTGAAATTGAATTAAAAATTACCTCTTGAGGGTTTCTACTGTATGAAAGCCTATAAGGATCAATCTATGGAGAGAAAAGAAATTAAAAGGAGTTATAACGCCTTTCAAAAAAAGCGTAATAATGCGAAAAAAGGCGTTATATCGCCTTTTGAAAAGGCGTAATAACGCGGAAAAAGGCGTTATTACTCCTCTCTAAAAGGTGTTATTACGCCTTGTCAAAAGGCGTTATTACGCCTTTTCAAAATAACGCCTTTTGGAAAAGCGTAATAACGCCTTTTTGTAAGGCGTAATAAAGCCGTGTGCCCCTTGTCATGATCGGACAAAAGGAAAACCTGTAGACAATTCAATGTGTGAATAATGGCCTATTTTAAAAATTGTATGAAAAACGTCAGTCAGAATTCGACTTAATGGTAGATTTTATTTGCTGACAAGGTCATTGTATTGACTATAGAACTTGCGAAATGATGACTTTAAACAAGACTGTTTATATCCTTGTTTCATCAGTTTGTTTGTCAATAGTGGGTGAACCATTGTAACCATTATTGAAATTATACTTACATGTACTATATTTACGAAAAAATGTCCTTTTACTTTTTTCTACATGAATATCCTCTATTTACATACATGTGAGATATTATAATCACAACAAAATCGGTATACATATTATTCAATTATATATGTATATCTAGTAAACTTTAGAGAAATTGAACGACAATGCTTATACTTGCTGATAAAATTAAAAACTAAATATTCATTATATTTATTTCAATAATGGGTCTTGTTTCAAGAGTGATTTATTGAAATAATAGCCACTAATTATTTAAAATTATTTCAATTATTTATTGATATTGGATGCCATGAAGTGTTGTTTTTGAAATACATTCTCAACGATTTCAATAGTGGTCGTCATTTCAAAAGTGGTTACAATGTAGTGTTATTTCTGAAGTGCACTCTCAGCCACTATTAAAATAATTATTCCAAAAGTGGTAGTTATTTCGAAAGTGGTTGAAGTAGGCCTCTTGTTTCGAAGCTCTGAAGAAATTTCACTTGAAAATTAATTCTGCGTGGAATACTTTCAGTGAAATTTTCCGATGCTTGTGCAAATGTGTCTTGCTTTATTTCAATCAAAATCGAAAGCGAGCAGAAATGACTACCATACGGTCAATTATTTTAATTTGGATATGGTAACTGACCACCAAACGGGTTGACCCCCCTATCCCCCCCCCCCCCCCCCCAGTGAAGGGCTGTACCCAATCTGTAAAAAAAAATTGAAGAAGATAACCACATACGTCATAGATCCACTAAACTAAACAAGTAAAAGGTCAAATGAAATCCACGTTATCTTTTTAAAATCTGAGGACAGTGTGTTTATCTGCTCAAGGTAAATTCACATAAGGCTATATTCTGTGTAATGGCAATTATTCATGCTATACAAGCTGCTCAACGAACCATTGATGTCTGACACATTTGCTTTGCCTCTGTCCTTTACTTGCGGTTAGCCATGTGCTAATATTGTTGACCTAAAATGTGGTAAGTTTTTATTTTATAACCAGAGTTATTCATTTATTCATAGTAATTTCTACTTTAACGAAATGCCCATTTTATATATATGTATATATATATATATATATATATATATATATATATATATATATATATATATATATATATATATATATATATAGCGTAACACAAACATTTATTTATCAGTGTCAATAACTTGTGTTGAAATTGAATTAAAAATTACCTCTTGAGGGTTTCTACTCACAGGCACTTGTTTCTGTAATAAATTTTTTAACCCATAGTATAATAATAACACAAGGTATCCAACTCCGAATTACACGGAGTACCCCCCTCCCTCAGAATCGCACTCTTTTACAATTTCAGAAGACATGCACTGGCAAACTGTTTATACCTATGTCTTCTACGATAATTTATCTACACAACCATATATGGCAAGCTTGTCTTTATTTCCTTTCATCTCCATAAACAGCGTCAAAACTCTGCTCGCCGAGCGAAAAGTCGAATTCACCCATGGAATGGTATGTGCTAGTCCCGGGCAGAATGCAAAAATTGAAATCAATGAGTAGAAAAATTTAATAATACTTCCCAGATTTTTAGATAAATAAAAGAAATATACTGCAAGAAAAATATCGTGAAACAAAAGCTTTGTTACTTTAAAAACAGTCTGAACTCAGCCACTGTAATGTGCTATTTTTATCTGCTCAAAAATCCAAGATTTTTCGTACTTCTCGGAATTTGTCGTGACTTTATAAGATAACCGCTAAAACATACCGGTTGTTGGAATTTACAAACATACTTGGCGGCTTAATTTGAAATTTGTTTAAAAATGGAGCAGCAACAAACTGAGAAAAAATTTTGCTCATGGTATGCATAAATTAACATGATGACAATAATATTTAAATATCAATTATAATAAAATGGAATTCTTTCAAAGTGCATTGTATGTAAGCACAGAGAATTCATAAATTTCACAAGCACATGTCCCCCCCCCCCCCCCCCAAAAAAAAATTGTTTGTACAAACAATAAATAAATTTAAAAAAAAAAAGAATATAATGTGATAAGAAGTACATGAATTTTTTAAGGGTTATGAATAAAACTAGTAAATTTTAATTCCTCTCTAATGAAAGTAAAGTGTTACAGACATGTAAAAGGGAATTATGGAGCAACGAAACATAAATTCCATGGCAACAAGTTTGTTCAAATCATGACCCCTGGGGTAAGGGTGGGGCCACAATGGGGGATCAAAGTTTCTATAGGAATATATAGGAAAATATCTTAAAAATCTTCTTCTCAAGAACAACAAAGCCATGTTTAGTCACATTGATATGGAAGTATTCTCAGATATTGTAGATTCAAGTTTGTTCAAATCATGACCCTCGGGGGTAGGGTGGGGTCATAATGTGGGATCAAAGTTTTACAAAAGAATATAAAGGAAAAAATCTTTCTCTCAAGAACAGCAAAGCCATGTTTAGTCATATTGATATGGAAGCATCCTCGGGTAGTGTAGATTAAAGTTTGTTCAAATGATTACCCCTGGGGGTAGGGAGGGGCCACAATGGGGTATCAAATTTTTGCAAAGGAATATAAATATAGGAAAAAATCTTTAAAAATCTTCTACTCAAGAACAGCAAAGACATTTGTTATATTGATATGCAAGCATCCTCAGGTGTTTAAAATTCACCCCCCCCCCCTGTAAATTTTTCAATACTGAATTGATTTGTGCTTTTTCTTAGCCATTGTGCTCAGATGAGTGATGCAACCCATGGGCCTCTTGGTTGATTTTGTAGGCTAGCTGAAAATTTGACAGAGGATAAAAGCAAAGTACTGAATTTAAACAACATGTCAATGGACAAAATATTTAATGAAGCATTTCATGTGTTTCCAAACATTAAAGACACATGCAGTTATGACCATTTGTTTAAAATGTTAAAAAAAATGTTTCCCACAATAAAAAAGTCTTCTGTGTGGGAAAACGGAATTAATGGAACAAAAAGAAAACCTGGTGTTAGAGGCTCAGTATTTGAAGTTCTACCTGAAAAAGCTCTCACCTTTGCAGGTATATCAACATTTGTTCCAAAGCAGTGGAATGTATTAGAAAGAACAGATGAAAATCTAAAATTAGGATTATTGTCCATTGAAAAATTTAATGGAAATTCTGTCCTCACTGAACTAATATTAAAAATACAGGTTTTATTGAACTGTTGGTTGCTGGTACATCAGTAGATCTATCCACGTATCTCATTTCCAATTACACAGAGTTTAATGAAACTGCGATTTCAGGCTTGTTCAAAACTTTGCAGACAGTTTCTCTTTGTAATGGAGTCACCTTACAACCTGGTGAAGCTGACTTCTTCTCCAGTGGAAAAAAAACTGTAAAAGAGATTTATGTTTTTAATAAAACAACAAAAACTGTAATCAGGCATGTGGACTGTGTTAGGGTTGTCCCATTAAATTCCAAGTTAGAAAAATGTGCAAAATGTTCAAATTACATAAAATATAAGAAAATATGGCATTCAAGTAAAAAAAATTCTAACAGTACCAAGGAAAACATTGATCCAAATTTAAAACACTTACCAACAATTATTCAAGAATTGGAGAAACTGGCACCAAATTTAAGTCAAAACCAACTAATGTTGATAGCTACTCAAATTAAATCATCTGAAAGTAAAAACTCCAGGGGAATGAGATGGCCTAAAGAAATAATTAGTATGTCTCTTACCTTGTACAATAGGAATCCATCTGCTTACAGAGACATTATCAAGAATGGGTGGGTGAATCTTCCATCAGAGAGTGTACTGTATCTTTACAAGTCTGCAATTAAACAAAGACCTGGAGTAATTCCTGAGATGATGGAATGGATGAGAAAAGAAGCCATTGACTCAAATATCAGCAAAGAAGGACTGTATGGGGGTATAATTCTTGATGAAATGTCCATTCAAGAGGATCTCCAAATTGTAAATGAAGGCAAAAAGAGTTCCTTGTATGGACTTGTTGAATGTGAACCTGATGTAATGTTAATGCATAATATAAATGAAGGAAAAGTTGAAAATAAACTTGCTAATCATGTTATGCAATATCTGTTTCATGGGGTTACTGGTTTCCGTTGGCCTTTTGCAAACTATCCAACTACACAATCTTCTCCAGTTGATATATTTGTTTCTACATGGAAATGTATTGATGCTTTGTATGAATGGGGATTCAAACCAATATACTGTTGTATGGATGGGTCCAGCAACAATCGCACATTTCTTAAAATGCACTTCCCTGAAAATGACCCTTTGTCTACTGAAATGATTGCTGGGCATTACAAGAACCCTTCAAGAAAAATGATATTTATTATGGATCCATGCCATCTAATCAAAAAAACTGCGTAACAGCATACTTAGTAGTGGTATTCAAGAACATCACCAAAGGTTATTAACTGTTGATGGCAAAACAATTCAATGGCAGATGTGGATTGATGCCTTTAACTGGGACCAAGATAATCATACATTTAAAATTCATTACAAGTTATCTCAGGAGCATATTTATCCAAACAATGCACAAAAGATGAGAAATAAATTGGCATTTGAAACCCTGGACTCTGAAATGTTACATTTAATGAAAACTTACAGTAACACTCTTGGTGAAGCTGGGAAAGCTGCACTGTGTGGTGCCATAGAATTTCTGGAGCATACTAGTACACTGGTTTCCTTTTTCCAGGATCAGCGACCTGTTAAGGACATGAGTGATACAAGATTACTACAGCTAATGGAATCATACAACTGGTTTAAGTCATGGGAGAAAGAAGTTTGTCAGAGTGACACAACTGCCAAGCGTTATAAGAGTTTAATCACTATGGAAACCAGAGAGGATCTTGACTTCATGTATTATGGGACCATGTCGCTTATTAAATTCTGTATTGGAAACATTCACACTGAAATTGTCCCTGCAAGATTAAATAGTGACATAATTGAAAATATTTTCTGTCAACAAAGATCTCTATATCATGGACCTACAACAAATCCTACTTACAATTCCTATAGAACTGGTATAAACAGTGTTATAATTGGAGAGACAGTGGTGTCCAGGAAGTCAAATTCTGGGGGAAAACGTGCATCTTCGTTTGTTGCTGAAATGCCCTCAAAAACCCGTATGAAATTCAGAGGCGTATTACGCCTGGACTTTTTGCAAATCCTGGCGTACAAGAGACGTATTCTTAAAAATACGGTTCATTTTCATGCGTACACGTATTTTTGCCAGAAATACGTCTCCTTTTCTCCTGGCGTAAATTCTTAATCCAGGCGTATTTTTTTCTTAGTCTCTTTCGCACAGGGAAATAAAAACTTAGAAAATTTCAAAAGGCGTATTTTTGGAAATCCTGGTGGATTTTCTGACTTAGTCCTTATTATTAAGAGAGCTAGATAAAAATTTTACTTAGACAACAATCATTCTCCTTTATGTAACTATTGAGTTGCTTTTGTGATACATGTATTAAAATTAACCCCCCAAAAAGTATTTACTCCACATGTAAACATTGATTACATTACAATATTGCCTTTGTTGTATTCATCGCATTTATTAATTTAAAAGCAATTAATTTTAGTAAATTATACTGATTTAATCTTAAATTACTGTGCCATTGATTCCCAAATAAAAAAAATGTTTAATATTATTTCTCTAAATAACTCAAATGATTTTATTTCTAACAAACTTAGTATATTCTTTCATGAATGTTTTAGTGGCTTAATAAAAAATAGCATTTAATTAAATGAATATTTAATCCTTAGTTTTAACAAAGCACTAGCTGATGCTAAAAATATTTTCAATCAGTTAATTACATAATGTCTCTATAATAAAACAAAATATAGATGGTATATTCAGATAATATTACATTACCATCTACTTTCTCTTCCCTAGTCTAACCAGTTGGGATTAGGCTAATTACTTACAGATGTGTTGAGCATGTTTAGGAACGACTTATCTGTAATGTTGTAAACCTTTCTAAGAACGGCTTATCAGTTTATATCCGGTTTCTCTAGAGCAGTTCTATTATCCACCCTAATCTTTAAAATAAAAGTACAATTCATGTAGAGAAAACATCTTGTGTAAACATAAATGAATTTTTGTTATTGTATTCTTTAACAATACAGAATTCTTTTTTCCTCAAATTTACATAATGTACTGATTAGATCTCTCAGAAATGATAAAACCGTTTAAGGAAACAAGGGGGTTATAAACAACAGCATTATTTACGTCCAAGTATTTGCGCCAATTTTAAACCACCAGGAAGGTCATGCCAGGAACAAAGAGATTGGAGAAAGCGGCAACGAAGCACAGATGGTGAAGAAGAGGTGATTATTTTGAAATACATTGCATAACATTGGATTTTTTTACCTAAAACAATAAGACAGATGCATTTGCTTGATTTGCAGATCCAGATGTTCATGATTGAAATGGGTCAGTATGACATTGAGTATGTTCTTATGTTTTTCTTTTTCCAGATCATAATCCATAGGATAAATCAGTTGGGCGATCAATTGAATGATGAAATAGTCCATAAATACTTGAATTTAAGTGAAGAAAAGATCTTGCAAGAGTCAAATGACCAGAATTGCAGCATTTTCCATAGATGCATGCCAATGAACTGCAGCTGTTGAGTGGAGCATCAGGAATAAAGTGTATTTTCAATGCCAAGAGTTATAAAACATGAAAAACATCTTTTTGTGAATATTTCTAGGAAAATGTGATTGGAGAATATAATAAGAAATGTGAATGACAAAATTGCTTGTGAATTGCATCTTTTGTGTAAGGAGTACAGAGAATGGCAGGATTAATTGGCATGATTCTCAATAAAGTGATTTCACTGTGATTATTGGAATGTTGCAACTGCTGACTAAAACTAATATGTCAATCTTGTAGATTAAAATACTGTGAAACAGGAAAAGTTAATGTTAATCTAACGTGATGTGACTGTGATTTGAAACAGTAAATGTTCGATTCTGATTTTTAATCATTTCTCATTCACATTTAAGCACACTGAAAAGTATTAATAAAATAAAACTTTTATCTTTATGTTTGTTGTAGTCCCCATAGCTTTGATAATATTTAATTTGAAATGAATATTTAAGGCAGGCGTATTTTTTATACAGGCGTATTCATTTTACGGGTGTATTTATTTTACGGGCGTATTTTTTTTTTTTACGGGTATGCTTGATATCTAGGCGTAATTCTATTGTTAAAATTTCCAGGCGTATTTTGAATTTCCAGGCGTACTCATTTACATATTTCAGCTAAAAATACGGTAGGATTACGCCTCTTGTACGCCTGTATTTCACTTTATACGCCTGCTTTTATGTATTCATTTTAATGGAGAATCCACCAGGATTTTAAGATTATAATACGCCTGGATATTTTTTGAAAATACGTGACTAAAATTTCGTACGGGTAGAATTAGACTGTAAACGAAGAAGAAATATTGATTGTTAAACATGTCATTTGCTAAATTTGACAGATTAAATGATACATATATTTATTTAGACTAGTAATTAAATATAATAATAATTAGTTGTTATTAATTCTAGGAAGAACTCCAAGGCACTGAAAAAAGAAATCACTTGCATGCACATATAACAGGCCAATAGCAGGAACACTTATAGTGGGGGGGGGGGGACTTTAAAAATTTTATATTTGGTCAAAAGAGAATTGTGAAAAGGAGTGGATATTATTCAATTTTTTTCTAATTAAAATAAAATTCAAAAGGGGAAATTATAATAAAGCCATTTCTTTAAGGACCCTCTTTACACTGCACACTAAAGAGTTCCAATTCCATGGTATTTTTGCCCAGTAGTTCCTACCACATCCCCCTGTTTTCCAAGGGTCTAAATTATCTAGGTATTAACTTGTTTCACATGTGTTTCTCTTCGGATTTACCTGGTAAGTTTTTTCACAGGATCATTGATCAAATAAACTCCAAACATCACAAGATCAGATATGATGGAAGAGAACATTTATTAGTGGCCATGGAGTGTCAAAAATATCAGACACACCTTCCTGTTTGTCCTAGGAAAAACAGAAAAAAATTAATGGTGAAATGTACAAAGCTAAAATTAAGAATTGATTGTCAATCAATTATAAACATGTAAACTGCATAAAGAAACTGCAGGGATCTTTCTTATATATAAGTGACATAACTGGAATGTATTTCTATATATATATATATATATATATATATATATATATATATATATATATATATATATATATATATATATATATATATATATATATATATTAGAAATTATAATTATATATTCAGTGCATACTTACTTTTCATTTCATTGAGTCCTGACCTTTATTCACAACACTTCTTACAATACCAGTCTTCATGATCTTTGATTGTTTTAATAGTTTCATCATCTATATTCTGACAAAGTCTATCATACCACTGATCAAAGAGGTCACACTGAAGCCATTCAACTTCATCATTTTTCACACGGCCACAACTGGAACACACAATTTCATCACCTTTAAGTTCTGCTCCCATAGAATGTGTTTGTTTTTTCTTCTTATTGTAAACTTGCTTGATTTTTCTTTTCCTCCCGGTGGTTTTCCTCTCTGACTGGGTTGGTGCTCTACTAGATGAAACATTTGAAGTCTCTTCTTCTACAGGCAAATCTGGTTCTGGGTTGGCACATGTTTCTTCACACTTTGTAAGAGCAGTAATGTTAGGAATACACAGACAGTTAGGAATATGACGAATAAGGCTGTCAATTATTGAAGATTTTGTACTTTTCATTGACTGTGTTAAGTCATAGGCTTTAGCAATATCAAGTAGTTGTTTTTTAGTGAAACTTCTGAAAGTTAAAGCTCCTCTATCAAGTAGTGATGATTGAATTTTCAAATGGGAACGGTGTTTACCTTCAGAGTCATCATTGATCATTTGGGTCATGGAGATTTTGGTACCAGTACTGTCTTTTGATGTACTTGATCCCTCTATCACCCGCTTTCTCAAAGTGTCTGTTTTTTGTTTTTTTTAAAGCTCTTAGCACATCTTTCCGAAACTGGTTATCAGCAACACGACAAAATCTCCATATCAAGTCAAAATAAAGTTCTTTTAAACTACTCAGTGCCATATTTTTATCACATTTCAAAAAAAGTTTCATTGAATTCAAAGTTTTGTAACAAATGTTCAAACTTGTTGATTAAAGCCTCATTCTTGGAAAGCTCATCTTGTACAGAATTTAAAACATTAGAACCTTCTATATGAAATATCTTTTCATAAAGTTCATGCCTAATCTTGTCCACTTCTATAAAAAAAAATCTAAAACATTGTCCTTCACATTTGTTAGACTCTGAGAAATGTTTTGGAGTCTTCTCGTCTCTTCAAGAGTTTCTTTATACATACTGTTTTGTGCCAACTCGTCGTAAGTAGATGTTAAAAATCCAACATTTTAACTTTTACAAAACAGGAAGTAACATTCATTAATTTGTCTTTCTTATACATGTTATTTCTCCCTAATTTGATGTAATGATGCTTTGATTTGGCAACACATCTCCCACAGATATATCTCAATTTGCCTACACTTGCCGAGTCAACTTTCAGATAAAGTTGTTTTTGAACTGGTGCAGGAGTAGCTTTTAATGATTTTGCCTTTTCCTCCAAAATAAAGTTTGAAACAATATCAAATACTTTGCTAAAAATCACAAAATCATACTGTTCTGCATTGTGATGAATACATTCTTCAATTAATGCTTTGTACTCACCAGAACTTGTAAACTTATACAATTCACAGTAATATTTGGTCCACATTTTAGAATCAGGATTTTTTCCCTCACTTGCTACACAGTTTTCAAGATATATTACTGTGAGTTTCTCATAAAGTTTCTTCAAAAAAATTTTTGTTCCACTTTCATTTCTTTCAAGAAGATCAGTCAGTCCTGCATGTGTAATTCTCTGTTCATCAGTCTGTACATGCATATTTTGTATACATGATCTTATCTTGTTCATGTCTATGGGACATTCTGTGTGATACTCCTCTGAGGAATCTTCTGGAGTAACATGAAAGGGAACATTTTCTGATGATAGTAGAGTACACATTCTATCAATTTTGCGTATTTCTTCTGCATCAAAGTCTGACATTTCCGACTCAGAATTTAGGAATGGGCTGTCAAATTCAGTATTTAATTCTTCTTCCAGTGAAAATGAAATATTACAACATGCCAGTTGTGGAAGGAAGGGAAATGTTGCTTTATCATAGAAACCAAAAATAGCTGCATCTGGTTTTAGAACATTGCAAGGCTGGAAGTTTATTAATCTCAGACCTTTCTTTTTTCTTGCACGCCCAATTGCAACTCCTAACATGCCCGCTTTGAATATATGTGAACAATCTACTTCCACTCTGTCCAGAGATAATCCTTGAGCTTTGTGTATTGTTATTCCAAAGGACAAAACCAATGGAATCTGTAATCGACTAGCTACAACCTTGTCATCTACAGAACTATAAACAGTGAAAATTTCTTTTCTTATTTCTGTCACAGTGTTATT